GAAGGGAGTTGGTGGAAGAGGGGAGGGTTAGAAGCTCAGGGACAACTGCTCCAAAGGCCCGCCTTTGAGCAGAAGCTTGACAAGATCCGGGGCATTAAGCTTGTGCAACTGCGAAGACCCTAAAACAGAAGAGTCTGGAATGTTTGAGGGGCTCCAAGCAGTGAATCGCTGGAGCCCAGTAGAAGGGGGATGTGGGAGAGGTGCAGGACCTAGTTCATGCAGGGCCACAGATGAGCTTTGGAGTTTGCTAGTAATAGAGGTTACACAAAGGTTCTAGGCGGGAAAGCAATATAATCGTTATCTGTTGTTTGAAAGGTTACTCTGGCTTCTGAGTAAAGGATGAGCTCAGAACAGCAGGGGTGAGGGCAGCGTGAATAGCAGGGAACTAGGGATTGAGGCCGGGAGCCAGGTAGGAGGCTGCTGTGACCTCTGGGCACAGACCTGGTGACACAGGTGAACAGGGCTGAAGGCACGGGCTGGAGACCAATTTTGAACATGAGAGCCAACAGTTCTTTTCCCCGGGCTTGGATGTGGGGTTCGAGGCAAACAGAGGAAGCAACATAAGAGCTGGTTAGTGTTCGGTACACTTAGGGACAGACCGGTGAGCGAGCTGGAGTCCACGAACATGTGACTGTCCCTTTCCTGTGAGATTTCCTCAGCTTCCGGCGGCCGGCTGTTTGCCAACCTTAGTCTGTTTTTGCCTTTCTGTAATATGAGGCTAATAATACTCACCCTTCAAGGCTGCCGGGCAAAGGGTCCTCCTTTCTGTGGAGAGACAGGAGGAAGCTCTGGGAGTGGATGCTAAGGCCCTTCTCAAGGCTACTGTGGGGCAAGCACACAGATTCAATACAAAATAGATATGTTAACCCTCTCGACAGCGCTGTGAGGCAGGGATTGATTGCTTTTGTCCATTTTGCTGAGGGGAAGACTGAGGCCCTGAGAGTTTGCATGGCTGGCCTCAGTCGCGGTGGCTGTGGACCGGCCCAGACATGGAGTTGGAAGTGGGCAGCCAAGGAACAGGGTCAGTTGGCATCGTCCTTGGAGAAGTGGAAGGAAAGAGATCCTCTTGCTTGTGAATGCCCCAACCCCCACCCCGTTCCCATCCCAGATCCTGGGGCTGTGCTTTGCTTAATGCACATCAGAAAGGTAAACTGGGAAGGAGAAAACCCCAACATGGCAGGTAACCTTCTTTGAAGTGCGGAGCAAAGAAGCCAGGCTCCGCTCCCACCTCAGGTTGGGGCTGAAAGCTGGCGACCAGGAGTGTTGATGCACAGACACCAGGAGGGAGCTCACACAGGCCAGGCCCCAGGGCCTTGAAGACAGTCCACCTGACTACGGTTGCTTCTGTCGCTTCTGTCAGCCCAGAAGCATCCCTGCTTTGGGTAACCCCTGGTCCTGGTCTCCCGGCACAGGCTGCAGGTCGGGGAAGGAGCATAGGCAGGACTCTGGGGAACCTCCTGCCGCTCTTCCAGAAGGTGAAACCGCTCATCTCCCTCACTGGACACTGGCAGCCAGTCGGGAGAGCACAGGCCGACCCTGTGGATCCTCTGTACCCTGCACACATCTGCTCTGGCCCTCAGACGTGCTTGCTAAGTGTCCAGGTGGGTCTCAGTCATCTTACTGTCCCCAATGCCCAGCACCGGGACTCTTGCCCAAAGGGATTTGCTGAGTGCATACTCAGTGCGTACATTTCCTGAGTCCAAGGTTCCAAACCAGTGTCCCCAATGTTTGGCTTCCCTTGGCAACTTCAGAGCCCAAGATGTGGGCCATTGACTTAGCTGCTGGCTGATCCTGCAAGGGAGGACCTGTCAAGGAAAAACAACTTCCCTTCCCACTACTTACCTTCCTGTAGCCATGAAAAGGGAGCCCCAGATGCAAAAACCAACCTCAAGGAAATGCCTGCAGGGAACGTCACTGAGTGGGTGGGGGTGGGTGGCAGGGCAGGAGCCTGGGTTCTGAGCCCCCAAACCTGCAACCAATAAGCTGTGTGGCCTTGGGCAAGTCACTTGACCTCCCTGTGCCTCTCCTTTCTCATCTTCAAAAGGGAGAGACAGGGGCGCCTGGGTGGATCAGTCGGTTAAGCATCCGACTTCGGCTCAGGTCATGATCTCGCGCTCCGTGAGTTCGAGCCCCATGTCGGGCTCTGTACTGACAGCTCAGAGCCTGGAGCCTGTTTCAGATTCTGTGTCTCCCTCTCTCTGACCCTCCCCCGTTCATGCTCTGTCTCTCTCTGTCTCAAAAATGAATGAACGTTACAAAATAAAAATAAAAATAAAAAGGGAGAGACAGAATAGTTTAAGGGCAGGTAAGTCCTGACATCACATAACCTGACTTTGAATCTCTGGCTTCAGCACTTACCTGCAGCAGCTACTTAAAGAGTTTTGACCATGGCCCTGTTATTAAACAAACTCTGTGGTCCTCAGCATTCTCATTGGTCAAATGAATATTAACAGTGTTTCCTCGGGGTGCCTGGCTGGCTCCGTCGGTAGAGCACGCGACTTTTGATCTCAGGGTTGTGAATTCCAGCTCCGCGTTGGGGGTGGCGTTTATTTAAAAATAAAACAAAACCCTATGTCTACTTCATAGAGTTGTTGCTAAGGTAGCTGTTGATTACATTCAATATATTTATTTTGTATATTTTAGGACAATGCCCAGCACCTAGTAAGTGAGTTATTATTATTGTAATTTTTGCCTTTTTTAAAATAATAAAGGACTGCTCTCCAGGCCTCCTGGGTTTTTGGTGAGGATCCCCAGACATCATGAATAAAAAAGCAGAGAGGAATTCAGTAGGTAGCTGGTCTTTTTGACCTTTTTTTTTGTTTTCAAATCTGACAGGAAATTCCTTCCTTCTCCAGCCCTGCCCGCCACCCAGCCACGCACCCCAGCTGACCACTTTCCATGACAAAAGGCCAGGTCACGTGGGCGGCCGGTTCTCGGCCCCAGAACCCGCAAATCCCTGCCTCCGGTCGGCCACTGCGAGTTTCTTCTTTAAAAGCCCCTAGGTTTTTAGCTACTAGAGCAGCTAAAGAAAACCAGTTAAACCCTGCGGACTTAGCCTCTTTCCAAGTTCTGGGCAGTCGCAGGAAGGAAGAGAACAGCTTTAGTGATGTTCCTCATGGCCAGAGCTTGGCCCACTTTGCTCTGGGAGGGACTTGTCAGGGCCCTGGGGAGCTGGAGAAGTTGGGGTGCAGTTCCTGAAGCCTCTTGGCCCCCCTTTCCTAATAAGTTTAAGAACAAGATTAAGGTTCTCAAAGTATCCAGAAGGAAATGTGAATCTGGTTTAGTGGTTTTTAAAATTCTCCTTTGGCCCTGTCTTATTCTGGAAGGTACACTACATCCCAAAAGGCTGGAAGGCGGCTGCCTTCACTTACTTATACATGTGCCCAACTGGCCTCAACGTGGGCTGCAACTCGACGTCAGTCCCCCGGTCCCTGGCCACCCCAGAGAAGGAAGGTCACTGATTTATAGGCCAAGGGAGCACATCTTTCCCTCTGCACTGTCCCAAACAACAGAACGTGAAATCTAGCTCAGATCCAGAATGTCTGACCTGGTTCTCAGGCAGACACCGTCACAGATTCAGGAAACCGATGCCAGCTGTAGGGCTGGTACAGACTTTGACCTGGAAATCTCACAGGCACGGGCAGCTTCCTCGGGTAGCCTTGGGTCCCATGCCCAGCAGGAGGCAGTTCCCTGATCGAGACTTGCCCACCTTACAGCTTCTTCAGTCCCGGGAGTGGAGACTGAGCGGCCCTGCCACCCTCCGCGGCTGTTCAGCAGGAGAATGACGCGGATTCTGCTCTTCGCCTTTGTCCTCATAAATGCCATCATCCTGGCATTTCATACCAACCACTCAGATCTAGGTACTTCCAAATACGGGTTACTCATGTGCTTTTTGCATGTCTTTCTTTCCAAGAAATCCTTATGCCTGTCTCCATTACCGCCCCCACCCCCAACCTCCGACCATGCCAAAAAACAAACAAAAACAAAAACAAAAACCCAGAACTCGGGTAGCTTATTGTTGGTCGAAGTTATTCCGGCCTAGGTCTCTATTAATAGAAATAATTCGATGTCAAGAAGGAAGCTGCCATAAACAATCTATAGTCAGCAACTAAAACATTGAAGGAATCAACCTCCAATGTGACAGGGCAAACCAGTGGATCTCAGTTCTGAGAGCAGCTGATTTTCTTTAGAAGAAAAGGCATCTCACAAGACAGAAACCGTCCTATGCCAAAAACCCAGAGGCCTCCTTCATCCAGGGCTCAACAACTAGCCCACAATTTTCCAATTCTGGGTGTTAGTCTAGATCAGTGGTTCTCAAGCAGGGTTAATTTTGTCTCCCCCCAACTGGCCAGGAACATTTGGCAATGTCTGGAGACAGGTCGTCACCATGTGGCCAGGGCCAGGTGGAAAGGAGGCACTTCTAGAGTCTAACAGGTAGAGACCAGGGAGGCTGCTAAATACCCTGTGATGCACAAGGCAACCTCTACAATGAATTACCCAACCCTAAATAGCGGTAGTGCTGAGGCCGAGAAACCCTAGTCTAGAAACCTCGTTTTCCTGGTTTCTTCTAGATGGGGGCCCAGTCTCAATAGTTTCCTATTTCCTTGGCAGTGTGCAGTGATGGGCTGCCTGTGGCCCCATTGAGGGCCACCACACCCAGGGCTGCGGAGGCCACCTGAGGACTATTGCCAGCTGGTGAGACCTCACAGCACCATTTCATTCTGGAACAGAAGTTGTCTGGTACACTTAGGTTGGTTGATCTAAGACAGAACTGTTACTCTGTTAAAAATCAATAAAATGCTCACATGCCTATAGACCATCCCCAAGAGTAACTGTTTTGTTCCAGCCTTTCAGACGTGGGCAGGTGGGACCAATCCAATGGGAACATCATCTGCTTTTGCTCTCAACAAAGTCCCTGTAGTGGCTTCAGTGTCATGCCCCTTACATCTCTATTCCTTTAGGAGAAAGACGCTGAAGGCAGAAAAACAGGAACGCGAAAAGGTGGCCAGAAATCATCCCACTTAAGAGTTTATTTCATGTGATTCTCAGCATGCAGTGTACTTTCTTGGGAAAAAAAAATTTTTTGTCCCAGTTCACATTATAAATTAATTTACAAATATAGAACTGTGTTAGAAATAATATTTATAAAAGTTCCTACAATTTTTCACATAGAAAAATATCCACAGAAACGTTTTTTTTGTACACACAATCTGGGGGGTAGGTAGTCTCTTTGGTTGTCTTCGTCCATAATATTTAAAAAATAATGGTGATGTTATTTATACCTCAATAAAACTTTAAAAAATAGTTTTCTGTATTGTGTATTTCAAAATAAAAATTTAAAAGTAACGCTGTGAGTCTCAAAAAAGAATACACAGGGAAAAGTTAAAAATTTTTTTTTACAATATACTTACTTGCGTTCCATTTTCTAAAAAAAAGTAAATCCCCAAACCAGCAACTCTCCTATCAAAGATCCAACAACAGGGAACAAAGGCAACTCAGGACATTATCAGCTGTTCCAATGAAATCAACAATTATCTACATTTTAATTAGCACTTTTTGGGTGAGTTCAAAAGGTGGCTAAGGATCTGCCAAGGACCAGACACTCAGCTGGGCACTGGGAGGGTGACCATAAAAACTATTCAAATGCAGGTACCTCTTGAGAAGTAAAAGGGAGTGCTAAAAAATAAATTATATTAAAAAATTTTAACAGACGGTTTATTAAGAAACTATAAGAAAAATTCCATTTTAAAACTATTTTTTAATAACATTCTAATATTGTCTTTAAAAAATGAAAGATCTAGGACACACGCTAAAAGGGACAGGACACCAAGTTAACTAGGACAATGGTCACCCTGGGCATATGGCAGCAGAAGGCAGAGGGAGGTGTCTGTCCTTGTTGCTCAGGAGAACATCTGAAATGGTCACTTTATGTCAATCTTTGGTCAAATGAGATGTAGCTCATTCCCACCCCCTGCACACTGTGTCTGCCTACGGATAACGGCACCTTTTGTTTCTCAGGACCAGAACAAATCTACCAGCACCAGCTCTGGAGCCAGACTGCCTGGACCTGATCCTGGCTCCTCGGGACTTGTGTGTGACATCTTGGGAGATGCACTGGCCTCATATAGAGAGCACAGGGACAGTAACAATACTGATTTCCCAAGGCTGCTGTGCGATCACACGTCGAGTGTCTGTCTGAAACGGCACTCCGCACACAGCTTGCCTGGGCAGTTCTATTGCTATTAGTATCCACCGAGTCCCAGAAGCGGAGCCTCAGCAGAGGTGACTTGTGAGCTGGATGTAGCTCGGAGGATTTGTGGTGTTTCCTGGTACAGTATTTTAAGAACTTTAAGTGGTGGCAAAGAAGGCAAATGGAGGTTTTCTAAAAAAAAAAAAAATCCAGACACCTGACTTTTCCAGAAAAATCAAGATGCTGCCAGGCAGGAAAGAACTAGCTGCCGACAGCGGCCTTCAGCTGGTCAGACGCGACCGCTCCCCACTGCTGCAGTTACCAACTGCAACCTTTTTTCCTACCCAAGACACTTCATTCTTTTGTTTCTTAGCTGCCCCGTGGGCACATCTGAGCTTGTAACCCTGATATACAGCGATCAGCAAAACAGACGCGGTCCAGGCCCTCGCAGGGCTCGCAGGTACTGGCCCAGAACAGAGGTGGCTTTCTCTCCAGGGAGGCCCTTCTCCAGAAGAAACCTGTGAAAGCTTGCTGGGCTGTAGAAAGAGTCATCTACGACTCCCGTGCGCCTCCAGATGTGGCCAGTGGGCCCACGGGATCACCCGGGGCTCCAGGGAGAGGCAGAGCCTCCCTTCCTGCCCCAAGACCTACTGCCTGGGAAATCTGCATTTAACAAGATCTCAGGTGCGCATATTCAAGTCTGAGAAGCTGAGGCTGGCGCGTCCTATACCTCGGAGCCCTCGCGGGGGTAGATGAGGCTGTTGACCATGCTGAAGTTGTAGAAAGGGCTGCTGAAGGGGCTGCTTTGCCCCCCGCTGGAGCCGGCAGGGAAAGGGCTGCAGTAGGAAGGCCTCTGGCTGCTGCTGCTGGCGCCGGAGCTCAGCGGCAAGGTGTCCGGCGCGGCTTCCGAGACCGAGCTGGGGGGGAAGGCGCTGCTGGAGGGCAGCTGGGCCCCCTGGATCCCCAGGTGGCGGCCGCCAGGGAGGGCCCGCTGGGTGCCCCCACTGCCGCTGACACTCAAGGTGCTGAGGCTGCTGAAGAAGGTGTTGAGGCAGGGGGTGGAGGTGAGCAGGGAGCCTCCCGGGGACGAGGCGGTACTCTTGGTGCCCTCGGGAGGCTCTGGGGACTGGGACGGCCTTAGCAAAGCCGTCGGGCTGTCCCCTTCCGGCTTCGCGGCCACTCCCGACCCCAATCCTGAGGAGAGCCCGTCTTCCGATTTTGTGGTCCCTGGGGCCGCCGCGGAGGAGCTGCTGGCTTCGGAGCGGCGCTTCCGCTTCCGACGGAAGTTCCCGTTGTCAAACATTTTCTCACAGTTTGGATCGAGGGTCCAGTAATTCCCCTTTCCTACGGGGTGGTGAAAGAAACCCAGGTCAGAGAAGGACCCAGTCCATGCCCTCGAATTATTCAGCCTCAGTCCCGGAGGGAGGACGGACTCTCATGAAACCCTGACAAACATGCTCAGTCCCCTCTACTGGTTACATTGATCCTTCCGGGGGAGGTTTTATTCTTCACCTCCAAGGAGAAATCTCGAACCCAGATGTTCTGGCCACTTCCACTCTCTCCTGGCAGTGCATGCTACTTAAATCGTGAGACCTAATTTTAGGCCCAATATATTTTTAATGCCCCAACACCTCCCCCTCCAGACTCATGGCGTGCGCCCTTGCAAAATCCTGGTGCTACTTAAACGTGAGCCTACATTTCTTGATTTATAAAAGCAGGCATGAGATTAATACCCATTTTACAGATTGGCCGTGAGGGTTCTGGTACCTGTTATTATTATTTGCTCAAAGGGTACAATATTTGTCCCTTAAAACAAAATCACTCCACTGGAAAAAGGCAACCTCAAATACCACAATCATTTGTCTTGCCAAACAAAAATCACAAAAGTTATTACTGGGTAGTCAGTTGTTTTAACACCACCTTGGACAACGTGTGTTCAGGGGACAAGGGAGCTCCTGGAATCTACATCCCTCCCTCCCTCCCCTTCAACAGGAGGTGCCCCAGGTCTCTTCCCAGCTTTTCCTCCACCGACAAATCTCAGACCAGAGCCCCATTTAGTGCATGTGGTGCTAGTCTTCTGCTTAGAAAATCCCCCTCACTATCTAGCATAATCGAGGGAAAAAAGATCCACCCTCTTGGAGGATTTTCTCTCTCAACAGCTTTTATCGCTTCTGGTAAACAGAATCTTTGGCATTTGAAAAGTACTGGTAAGCACTTGTCTTGTAGAGTGCTTTACATGGGCAACTTCGGTTGCTCCTCTCAGCTCTGTGGAAACAGGCCACATTGGTTGTTAGTAACCTGCTGTGTTCCCAGTTAGCAATGGTAGAGCTTGGCTTTAAGCAGGCTGCTTCTAGACTCCGCATTCTTACCTAAACACTGTGTTAGGTTGCCTGCATGAACTAGCACTCATTCCTCCAAACCCAGGATCCTCAGTAACACATGTTTTGCAAATAGTTGCAAAAAAATTTTTCTTTATTCATACAACTTCCATCTGAATACCAGCACCTGTACCTATCAGGATATTTAGTGCTTTGACAAGATACTAGCTAAAGACGCTAACTTTTTAGACAGCCCAGAAGAATATACATGACCATTAACATGATAATCTCAGGTGCTTTACGGCCCAAATGGGGAAGGTATCTAGAAGATACCTTCTAGAACTGTATGCCCTGTCCAATACAGTAACCACTTGTCACACACATGGCTGTCGGGCACCTGAAAAGTGGCTCGCTAGTCCAAAGTGCCCTGCAGAATCAAGCACACACAGGACTCTGAAGACTTAATATCAAACAAAAAGCATAAAGTGTCTCACTAATAGCTTTTATATTCGCTGTTGAAACAATATTTTGGGTTACTTAAAAATAATTCCACCGGCTTCTTTTTACCTTTTTAACGTGGCTGCTAGAAAATTTGCAATCACACACGGTTTGTACCGTATTTCTCTTGGAATGCACCGCTCTCTAGTGCTTTCAAGGTGCGAACGCTCCAGAGCATTTACACAAAATCTTGCATCTCTTTTTCCTATCACGCCTCTGTCCCCACCTCCTCTGTCCCCAGCTCCTTCTGAAAACCTCAAGTAGAATCCTGTTCTCTCGGTTTTGTTTGAGCTTTTCTTCGGCCTCCACTGCTCCGGTAGAGGAAAACCACTCACAGCGCTCCACTGTAACCCAGCCCTCCTCACCCGGGGCGGGGGGCTCGGATCAGAAATGCAGCACACTTGGGGTTTTCATTTTTACATTTCTAAATAGTGAAGGCACCAAACCACACTCTGTAGGACCCAGCTTTAGTTCTCGGATTCCTCTATTCCCTGTCCCCGGATGCCTGTGCCACGACTTTAGTCGTCTCTCTCAAGGCGGGCGCCTACTCCACGAAGGACACAGAGAGGACCCTGGTGCAGGAAGAGGGTCTGTTAGGACCCCGGTGCAGAAGGAGGTGTCTCCAGGGGCAGCTGGGACGGCGGCTGTTGCTCGGTCTCTCACTACCTATTCCGTGAAAATGTGCCGGGGCTCTCAGCTCTCCTGAATCCCTTTATAGTCGTCCCTTATCCGAGAGCCCACGCGTGTTCCTATTCCTAATCTACCTCCCTGTAGCTTGGTCCCTCCCTTCCACTGGCACCCAGGGGTGGCTTCCCGTTTGAGGATACTGGCTTTTTTCGTTTTTCTCTAACCGGCCAGCCTCTGCGCTTGAGTGTGGTGGGTGTGAGTGGGTGCAAGGGGCGAGCCCCCCACCACCGGGCCCCCGCGCTCGTGGGTCCTCTGATAGTTCTCTTTGTCCTCCGGTCTACCCCCACCCCAGCCAGACGAGGTTCGGGGTTCGGGCGGTTGTTCCGTCCGCTCTGGCTCCCAGTCCCAGTTAGGAAGAGAAGACTCCGCATGGAGCTCCATCCAAGTCGGCCCCTGCCCGGGCGCCGCCTCCCCGCCCTCCCGGCCGGGGAAGCACCTGTCCGGCGCCCTCACCTGGGTCGTCCTCGTCGCGGGGCACCTTCTTGAAGCAGTCGTTGAGCGACAGGTTGTGGCGGATGGAGTTCTGCCAGCCGGCCTTGCTGCGCTGGTAGAAGGGGAAGCTGTCGGCCACGAACTGGTAGATGTGGCTGAGCGTGAGCTTGCGCTCGGGCGCGCTCTGGATGGCCATGGCGATGAGCGCCGAGTACGAGTAGGGCGGCCGCACCATCTTCATCAGGTCCTCGCGGCTGGCCATGGACAGCCAGCCCAGCTCGCCGGGCGCGGCGGGCCCCGCGGGCGAGGCGGGAGCGGCGGGCGCGGGCTGCGCGAAGGCCCGCTGCGCGCAGCCGAAGGTGCCGGC